CCTAGACTCGTTCGATGCAAGGATTAGCTACATTTGTTTCGGTCCTAGTCTTCGAATGCGCATAAAAAATATATATATTTCGGGGGACTTGACCGCTGTGTTTATCAACTCTCCCGTCGAAAGGAAACGGAGGACAGAATAGAGAGAATCCTGAGGGGATCGATATTTCCAGCCACATAATCGATTATTTTGCTCGAGCTAACCGGAACACTCTCCTTTGAACACTGATTTGAGTGAGAGCAGGGCGCTGATGGTAGAATGTAGTCATTCATTATAGAATCATTTGTTCCTCGTAGCCTTTTCAGCCGTACGTGGTTCGTCTGTAGTAAACACGATACAGTTGTCATTTAACACAAACGGAATCCTCACCAAGTCAAGGTAAGCCCTTGATATCTACAGATTATTTTCATCTTAAAGAGGAAACGATGAAGCGAAACGTATTGAACATTTCGCTTTTGTGGTCTGAGTTCAAAGCAATTTTGTTTTCATGCTCTCATTATCAAACATGGCGTCTTCAGGTCCAATTTCAAAAATCTATTTTGTCACTTAGTTTCGCATTTTCTTCACGAAACATCAAACTCGGTTCTTATGAAAGGCTAAGATACTAAAAGAGCTTTTCAAAAACTAAACATGATTAGTTTGTGGCAATAGTTGGTGACGAAGAAGGATATTACAGAGCGAGCCCGTCTTGTCCGAACTTTTAACACGAAAACGTAATTTAGCGGTTGGTGCAGTTTATTGGAGCAAAGAAAAGAAAAAGTTAATTCATTGAAAAGTGGATAAATATGCTTCTTAATGACCGCCGAACCAGCATCCGAGTAGAATATCGTTTTCAAACTAGTGCGGATTGTTCCTGCTGTGTTTTTGGCCTCGTGTTCTCTACTATCAAATGTGTTCCTGGCATTGTTTCAAATTTTTGGAGCTTAAGTTTGAATGTGCGTCTAGGGTCGAATTAACGGCTAATGAGGGTGCGACATTTTTTGGGCTTATAGATGCCATTTCTTACGGCGAAAAGTTAGTGATCCGTCTCTAAAGAACATATACTGAAATTCTAAAAAAAGCGGGTTAGTCGGGCGGTATGTATATTTAGATCAACGAAAAACGAAAAACCTCCACAAGAGTTCTAAACACCATCGAGACTTAAGATATGCCCCATTTCGTTGTTGCCGTTTTTTTTTGTTTTTTTTTGTAGTATTAAGAAATCGAAGTAACTTTTGCGAAATTTACCTTCAAAATTTCGAAATAACTGCCATTTTTTTAATTACAATAGAGCCGCCAAGAGTTGCCGACCACCTGCGAAAAATATAGTCACAGTGACACAAAACTCTTGTTTCGATTTTGCTTTGCATCGAATACATCGCTAATAACAAGAAAATACCTTCAGATGTCAAGAATACTTCTTTACGATTGATTACTCTTAAGTCTGTACTATTTACTAAAAGGTAATCAGTGCCGCGAGCAACGACGATGAAAGAGACGTTTCATTGCGTATCATGACAATGAAGGTTCGATTTTAGGAGGAGCGATGCGTGCAAATTATGCGCTACGAGCCATTAAGATCACAAATAGATTACTCAACATAAGGAATATGGCACGCAATATTATAATTCAAACTCTTTTACTCTTAAAAAAGGGAAGTAAGGAAATCAAGCTGCACTTCGAGTGTACAATGTGTCTCGAGTTTTCAAAATGGCGCACCATACCAGCCACATTCTATTGTCGGTATGGAAGGGAAACACTTCATTTGAACCATTACGGCAGACAGGACTTTGCTCTCGTTTCGCCATAATGATATTCCACTGTAGAAGAACCAATGTAATAACTGAAACATTGAACACTTGAGCTACAGCATTCATTATATTTCTCTAGTCACCCCATACGATGGTTTTGTCTCCCGAAATTTAAAATATATTTCACACTTATCTCAAGCTTTTAATCTATTTTTTTGTCTTCATCTCCTCTCCCCGACATCAATAAGATTACTTTGCTCAAGGCTTTGCATTCCCAACTTGCCTGCCCAGAAAGGTATACTTACTAGTGAGCGGGGATAAAAAAGGATGATAATGTCCTAAAATAACTAATGGATCCATGATCTTGGCAACTTACTGATTTCCGATTCTTTTGTTTTGGCCCTCGTTCGATACCTCTCGCTAGTCTCCTAGATTATCTAGGTATGCAATTGTTTGGGGATGACGAGGCAGATCATGCGACTACCGTGTTTGTTATTGAGTTCAGTCGTTGAGGACGTGCTGCAGATTTTAGCTAAATGCCTATTTTGTTACTCAGCTAGCAATCTGTGTCGGCGTTTTGTAATGACGTGTTGGTTAGCAGCTTCTTTATATTTACAACTTACATCACTGATGCAGACCCATATATACCCGAATTTGTTGCATGCATTGCAAGATCCAGAGGACATTACTGAGAAGGAGAGAATCATCATTTTCTCCGTATTAATGTACCCTAGGAAGACATTCGAGAATTTGAAAGAAATGTCTCACCAGATTACCGTAACGAGATCCAAACTGGGAAAACAAAGTGTACAAGCTAATAAGACCCTAGTAAGGTCTAATCAGTGGAGGAAAGACACTTTGAGTGCTAATGAAAAATTTTTTTGCATAGTTTACATCGGATATCAGACCACATACCTCGTCACACAAACTGTTCCAAAACAAATCCCACATGCCCAGTTGCGACCCCAAAGTATTACCCAAGGTTCTTCTGCTTTGAATTGTGACAGTCGGAAGAGTCCTTGTTCAAAACGGAGCATATCAATCATAAGCCTCAAAATAATTGTAGAACCAATTGTGCTCTTCATAACAGAAATGATACTAAATTAAAATATTTCAGTCCCGTTAACACACATTTATAGATCTCAACATATATTAGAAATGATATCTAATTTAAAAACAAGTTTCAAAATTATGTTGCAATATCGTTTACTCCTGAAGTTTTCAGCATCAGTTTTTCGGGGAAGGTCGAGCTTTGATTAAACTATTCAAACACAATAGTCAGTTCGCTAACTGAAGATTGAAATTTCATGCCAAGCTTTAACCTTTTTTTTATTTTCATCCCAGCTCATATTCATCCCGTTATGATTATCTCATGTTTCAAGCTAAGAACATCAGTCACTGACTCGTCCTCAATGTAATATCACTAATGGTTTTCTTCTCTTTCTAAGTCTTTCTAAGACTTTAATTGGTAGCTTCTCAGTGTCTCGCTGATCACAAGCATTCTGACTACATGATAGGTTTTCTTTATTCTTTTTTTCCAGTCAATGGATGAGTTAATTAGGTACGGTGGTCTTTGCTTTTGAAAAATGCATTTTGACCTATGCGTTTTATTGCATAATCTTGCACAGAATTGCGCCGTTTTCAATCAATCAATCAATCAAAAAGGCATGAATCAACAAAATCAACGGAATTCCGACTCTCAGGACCTATGCTAAACATAAATCGTTAATCATAGTCACTGCGCAAAATATCAAAGCAGATTTTAGCACGATTTCCATCGTGATGTGGTCATGGTAACAAAAAATTTCGCATAAACAACCGTGAAAGACATCGCGCTTCGATGGTCACTTCACAAAGATCTGACAGATAGAAGAAAGGAACTGCAAACTGTAAAAGAAGTACAGAATGTTTGAAAGACTTTAAAAAAACAATTCGATAGTACTGGAGTTTTTTCTGCCCTCTACTCGTTTTTACCTGAGGGTGCTATGAAAAAGAGGAAAAATTACGCTTGTCACAAAATGTTAATCATATTTCAAAATTCTAGCTTTACCAAACCTATCAGGGTCCTTTTGTAAGATTGAGAGAGAGACTCCGTACTGCGATGCAAAGAATATTACGTGCTGTCTTCCTAATTGTTATGGATTTTTTTGTAACCCTAACGGTTTGTGGTCACGACTGCTTTAGAAATCACACATGTTCTTTGTCTGGAAAGCAACATAATTGTACTCCTCTTTTGTCATCGTGCAGCTTTGAATACCTTTCTATAAATAGGAAGATACTTCAGAAATCGTCAGTCGCACCCAAACACCTCGAGAAAGTCAAGTCACTATTTCTTAGCCTTGTAAAAGTGAGCAGATTTTCACTGTAAACTACAACCCTGAAAACAAACATGTCAACCGACTTATTAACCTACATCACACCAAAATAATCCAATTGAAACTTTACTGAGACAAACTAACTACAAAAAAACTGTTTCAACTTACGCGAAAACTACGCTGAAGGGCTTTAACTACAGCATATTACACCAAAACTCACAAAAAAAGCAAAACTACCGAAACTACACCCAACTAAAACATACAACACCAGAATACATCAAACTATACCAAACTACACTAAAATACACTGAACTACATTAAAACAACATCAAACTACACCGGACTACAGAAGATTACACTTACTTAACCAAACTGCATCAATCTATAACAAACTAAATCAAACTAAATCAAATTACACCAGACTACACCACACTTCACCAAGCTAAACTGAAGTAGACCAAACTGCATTAAACTATACAACAATACACCGAACTACACTTAACTACGCTAAAGTACATCAAGGTACACCAGACTACACCAAAAGACACCAGTCCAAACCAAACTTCATCAAACTACACTAAACTATGCAAATTATGAAAAACTGCGACCAAACTCCACCATCTGAACTCCCATGGGCAACACTAGGAATTTGCATCACGTCTCCAGAATTTGCATCACGTCTCCAGCATAGAGACGACTTTGTGCCATCCTGCCTTTAGTTTGGTTTCGTGAACTCATTCGATGCAAAAACTGGTTAAGTGTCTCGGTCCTAGTGTTTGAATGCCAAGCCGCACATTCGCAGCACTTTTTCTTTACTTGATTTATTATTGCAAATGAGGCGGCTCTCCCACAAGCCCGGTGGCCTCTTGGGTGTTCTTGCTTTTTAACCGTTATCGCTGTAATTAAGTATTTTTTATTACTGAAATAAGGCAAATAAAAGATTATGATAAATATTTCGGGCGACTTGACAGTTGTATTTAGCAACTCTTCCGTCGAAAGCAGACGGGGTACATAATAGAGAAAATCCCGAAGGGAAAGGTGTTTTCAGCAGCATGATCAGTTATTTCGCGTGACTTCCCTTTCAGCACTGATAGTACTGAGAGTAGGGCGCTGATGGTAGAATGTATGTATTAATTGTAAAATCCCTTTTTTTCTCGTAGTCTTTTCAGCGTACGTGGTTCGTCTGTGGTTAACACTACACAGTTTTGATTTAATACATACGGAGTCCTCACCGAAGAAAGGTCAGCTCTATATGTCTAAATATTATTTTCATCGTGAAAAGGGGACGACAATGTGAAATGTATGAAACATTTCACTTTCGTGAGCTGCGCTAAAGGCTATTTTGTTTTTATGCTCTCCTTATCAAACATGGCGTCTTCAGGTCCAATTTCAAGAGTCTAACTTTTACCTTAGTCTTGCATTTTGATCTCGGATCATCAACTTCGTTAAGTTCTCGTTCTCATGAAAAGCTGGTATACTCAAAAGCTTTTCGATAAAGAAACATGATTCACTTGCGGTAAAATTTGGCCATGAAAAACTTTTTCATCCTTGAAAGACGTAACAAGATAGCGAACACATCTTGCTCAAACTCGATAAAATGAAGCTCACATGATTCGGAGGTACTTACAATTTTTTCTCCTAGAGGAAAAAAACAAAGTTAATTCGTTTTAAGGGAGATAAACATGCTTCTCATGTATTAGCCTAACCAGTATCCCACTAGACTATCGTTAAAACTAGTGCAGATTGTTTCTGCTGTGTTTTGGCCTCTTGTTTTGTATTTATTTATTAAATACTTTTCTGATAAGGTATAACATTTTTGGAGCTTAAGTTTCAATGTCTGTCTGCGGCCAAACAAACGGCAGCCAATGGTATTGCTTTGTGAACTTTTTTGGCGAAAAGCTGGTGATTCTTTTCTGAACAACACTTGAAAGTCTAAAGAAAGAAGAGGCATTAATCGGGCTGTATTTATACTTATGCGAAGATTTGAGTAGAAAAACCTCGAGGAGAGTTCTAAACACCATCGAGACTTAAGTTAAGCCCAATTTGTTCAGTTTTTTTAGTATTAATAAAATCAAAGTAATCTTTTCGAAATGTACCTTCAAATTTTCTAAATAACTGCCATTTTTGCATTACAAAATGTCCCCTAAGACTTGGATACCAACTGCGAAAAAGATAGTCACAGTCAGAGAAACGTTTTCGTTTCGATTTGGTTTACATCTGACGTATCGCTGAAAAACGAGAAAATGTCTTCAATACTAGGAATATGTTTCTGGTAAGGTATAAAGTTTTTGGAGCGGTATGGAAAGAAAACATTTCGGTTAAACAGTTATTGCAGATGGGACTTTGATCTAGCTTCTACAGAGTGATACTCACCGTAGAAGGCCCAGATGTAATAACTATCGACTTGAACACCTGAGCCACAGCATTCGATTTTTTTTCTTTTCGCCCCCCTAAGATTGTTTTTTCTCCCAAAATTTAAGATACATTCCACATGTAATCTCAAGTTTTTTGTTCCGGCGATTTTTTTGTCTTCATCCCTTTTCCCTGCCGTCAATGAGACTAATTTTCTTCAGGTTTTGCATTCTTAACTTGCCTGCTCAAAAAGATACCGGTGAGCGAAAAAAAAATAGGCAGATGATGATGTCCTAAAAAAAACTAATAGATCCATGATCTTCGCAAATTACTGAGTGCTGATTCTTTTATTTTGGCCCTCTCTCGATAGTTTTCTCTAGTCTCCTACGTGTTCTAGGCATGCGAATTTTGGTCGAAGACGAGACAGATCACGCAATTATCGTGTTTGTCATTAAGTTCAGCAGTTGATAACGTGCTCCAGATTTTAGTTAAACGTCTGTTTTGTCCCCCAGTTAGCAATAGAAGCCCGTGATTTGTGATTATCTGCTGGTTAGCAGCTTCTTTTTAGTCATATCAGCCCTGCTAAATGTTAATCTCTGATGAAGACTCTTACAACACCTTATTCGTTTGTCGAATTTGTTGCATGCATTTCAAGATCAATAAAATATAATTTAAACGGAAAGCATAATTCATTTTGTCTAAAATATGAAAGAAATGACTCACCAGACAACCGTCACGAGATAGAACTGGGAAACAAAATGTAAAAGCTAATAAGACCATGATAAGGTCTCTTCAGACAAGGAAAGAAAAAGACTTCTATCTGAGCCCGCAATCTACCAGAGGACTTCCCCGTCTGGGTTTTTAAAATAGCTATGTACTTTTTAGCTCCATCACGGGTCAAACAAATCATAACACTTGTTCGAAGTCTATTGATCGCAAGATTCTGTGCCTCTGATATCAAGAGATTATTGTTAGCGTATTCATTGTTTTGACATCTGTCATTCGATGCCAGTCACACATTAGGGTTTCCAGCAACTGCTTCTCGACTTACATCTCTAGCAAAGAAAGACGGTGATTGCGAGCCCGCAATGTGTCATGAATACTGGTCAGAGAATTCTTTGGTGCGACAGTTGTCACTCTAACGTCTTAATTTTGATGTCTGCTGTAACAAGACATTACACTTAAGACAATCAGTGCATAAGGCATTCAACGTCCACATTCTTCAACCTTATAGATGCAAAGGATGACTGTTCACCTTTGAACAAAGGCATTTGTTGAAAGGCATTTGTTCGCCATTAACTGGCGAACTCTGATAGTCATTCACAAACACTATTAAAAAGAAAAACAAAGATTTGGTGAAGAACAGAGTAAACAAATTTGCAGCTAAATATTTCAGACTGAAAAATCATAAATCGAGTCTGTGTATAAAACTTGTACAAAGCTTACCTGATGTTGAAGGAAATTGTTCGGCTTCAACTCTAGATAAAATATAAACAAATAACCAATATTGGCCAAAAATGATTTACTTTACGCGTTTCAATTATAGAATAATGACTTGTACAAATGAGATCGCTTACATACATATCTCAGGATCTCAAGTAAAAATCAGTCAAATAATTATTCTCACCTCGAAAAAATCTCCGCGGAGTCTCTAGTTCCATCGTAGGAACAATCAATAACATTTCTGCAAAAGCAATGTCTGTAGTGTTACCGAAACCCATGATTGTTTTCCTTGCACTCCATAAATCATACACAGACTCTCGAAGTCGAATAACCTGTGCCGAGCTGGGCAGACTCGGCCTTCCTCTAGACCGCTTCTTCGGCGGCATCAACTTTTCAAATGACGTTTTTCACCGTTATACATGTAAGAATTAAAAACTATTTACTGATATGGATACTACGATAGTTTGTTGTTCGCACAT